GGACAAATGTTCACTTTTACCCTTTTGTTCTGCTGATGGCGGTACCAGAAGTAGTCGTCGGCTGACCGAAGGATCTCAGGTGATGTTCCCCAAAGAACTGCTTCAGTGTYGTGGCCGGTCGGACACTCAGGGTGTCTGTTCAGCTGCTGGTCCTTCAGTCAGAAAGGTGGGTGGTGAGCTGGTGGCAGCGGGGTCCGGTCCTCCCCAGGCGGCTGCAAGACTTCTTAGTTTGATTTCAAATTTGTAGAGAAAAACAAACTAAAAATGACGCATGAGTTACAATTAGCTTATTTAACTTCTGTAAAATCAAACTCAGATGTTGAGTCGATATTAAACGGTGGCTGTACGCTAAACCAGTGAGAGATGCAGAATGGCCACCATCTCACCAGCCCATGGGGAGGGGCTGGCAGGCAGGGCCTCTGCTGAGCTTCTGGAAAGTGTTTCTGGCTTCTGATGTTGAAAAACTCTCAAAAACTCTTTCGGTCTTCTTCTGCTACTTCTTTGTTTTCTTCCAAAAGATTGGGAGTGTGCTAAACTTTTTAAAACCTCTGTTATGGGCGGAGTCAAGGTTTTAGTTGGCCAATAAAAATGTTACACCTTATACAGCAAAAGTTTTTAACAAATCAAATCTGTCTTGGAGGGAAAACTTTACTTTAGGACAAAGAAAAAGGGAGTGTTTTAGTTTAATTATCTTGCATCTAATTAAAGGAAGGGACATATGCTTGCCTCAGTAAAATAAGAGTGTCACACTTAATTATTAAAATTCAAGTCCTAAGTTTCTAAGGATTAAATCATGGAATAAAATGCACATCTTCAGGAAAACATTTCATCAAACAATTAAACACGATACACAGTTACCACACTGAGTCCTTAGTGGACAAACAGTTAAAAAGAGAATACAGTTAGCTTCAATGGGTTTTGTTCTTTCTGTAAAAGAAACAGGTAAATTGCATTTCTTTGATTAAGATATATGAAAACAGACAGTTGTATAAAAACATTCAATCTTGTTCTCTTTTTTTCACATTTAATGAAGAATGTAGGTCCTTTGTTCTCAGTCATGCTGAAGAGTCTGGTTAAAGGCATTTATGATCCCTTTGAAGAGGAACCAACAGACAGTCCTTCAGGTCACTCCAACTTGTGGGGGTTCAGGAATGTGGCAGTTCTTATCTTTTAACAGTAAGGCGTCAGGACGTCTAGTGGGGGAAGGTGTGAGAGATGTTAATTTGAGCCACAAAGGAAGTTCCACACAAAAGTCTTTAGAAATAGTCTGAAGTTAAAGTGGGTTTTTTTCCTTTCTCTGAGCAGTCATAGGAACAAGTGAAATCTAATCAGAAATGATTATTTATATGCAGGAAAATGCTACACCACCTCTGGCTGAAATTAAAACTGTAGATCTCTAATGGTTACTTCCACAAACATTCTTTTTCACCATCATATCAAACATTCAATAAACTCATTTTCTTTGCTTTTATTCAAGATAAATACAAGTTTCTGTGTTTATTAATTTACGACTGATGTGTAATCATGACACTTTCATTATCTTTGGTTAAAAATATCCAAATATATAGAATTTTTATGAAGGTCTTAATAACTGATTTGATTTTATTTTCTTGTTTTTATTCTATTTTATGTGAATTGCTTTGCGATTTTATGTCTATGAAAGGTGCCATATAAATAAACTTTACTTTACTTTACTTACTTTATGAAAACACTGAAATTGATTAACAGTTTCTGGATTTTTTTTTATTGCACTTTAGGAAACTTTCTTTTCTAGACATGATGTTATTAGCTTTTTGTTAGAATAACTGGTTTAATATGAATAGTATTTGCTGTTTTACTGTCTAACAGGGAGATCCTGGACCTGTGGGACCACRTGGACCTGTTGGGGAGCCCGGAGTGAGAATTATTGGGTCAAAGGTAATATGATGTAAAACATGAACAGAAAACACTTTGTCTTTATAAGAACAAAAAGAAAAACTATCTTAGTGTAAACACACCAGCCCTGTTTAATCTGCTTTAATTGAACTGGTTTGCCTGGAAAGAAAGAGTTTGGAAGCAATATGAAAAGAACTGAACAAACACCCAAACCTTTAAACAATRCCCTGTGAACAAACAAAAGATGCTCAAATTAAAACATAAAATAAAAAATAAAATAAATTAACAACTGGAAGAGCATCCTTCAATAACAGTGATTCCATCATTTCTGTAAACTTCAATTAATGCTAGTTTCAATAAATGATCAATTAGTTGTCTTAGTTACTTGTTCATCTTGTTTCTTCAGGGAAACAAAGGAAGTGTTGGTCCTACCGGACCACCAGGAGCAAAGGGGGACAACTTACCAGGACCACAGGTCAGAGAACACAAGAGGAGGYTCTCACTAGCTGCGTTTCCATTGACCATGAAAATGCGCAAATRAGAATTTCMAAAATAAATTTGCTCAATGGAAACACGTCAATTTCAGAAAAAAATMTGTTTTTCGACAAAATGTTTTTGCGCTAGGATGAGGTGGTTTTTCGGCCGTATCGAGTGTGGTGTTTTTCACAAAACTGCAATGGAAACACTTTATTACATCACAGGAGTCACGTGATCAACAACCGTCTGTTTCTACTGGTGAAAAAGACGATGATGAAGAAGATAACAGGAAGTAGAAGNGGCACTCCACATGAGATGTTACAAAACTCAGATCTTACATTATTTARTTCTACAAATTGTTTTCTATCTTCCAAATAACTAGATACCCACTGTAACGCAGGTCCTCTAAAACCATATTAATTTAACTTTTCAAAAAGAATACTATGGTTAATAGTATCAAATGCTTTTTTTAAAATCAACAAAAATACTGACACAGTACTGTCACACAGTGATGTCATCTATATATGTGGTCTTTCACAGGGAAATAGAGGTGACAGGGGCCAAAGGGGATTTTCAGGGTCTCCAGGCCCAATCGGTCCCCCTGGAGCGAAGGTACGTAACAAGTTAGGACAACGGTTCTAACAAATTAAGAAGTGTCCTCGTGTCCGTGCAGACAGAAGTTTGGGCTCCAAACCAAATGAAATAAGTATTTATTCAATCAATTTTTGCTGCGTCCAATTTTATTTCAAATCCAGAATTCTTAAGAAAATATATTGTCAGAAACTCTAAAAAATAACCTCAGATTTTTTGATATTCTGATAAYTTTCACACTATCTGTCACTTTTAGCAGAGTGCAGGCTCTCGCTCTCATGTTGCTTGGATTTGAAGTTGGATTGAAGTTTTTGCAAATAGTCCAGAGCCATCGCAGATATTTGGAACCTGTTTTGAACTTTTCAGAAATTAGTTTTTGTAACTTTAGAGGTGATTGTTTAAATTTTTTTTTCTCTGCCACTTTTGTGCCCAATGTGTTTGTGCTGGACAGCCAGATCAGTCAGCTGTCTTCAGATGCTAAATGAAGGTTGATTCCTCACAGCTGAACCTGATGGATGTGTTCGTGGCAGAATCTTATCGTTTGCATTTGATGAACTAAACATGGAACAGATATAACCTGATTTATAATCAGTCTATCTGCCTGTGAATGTCTTTAAAGGATTATTGTCTGGTAATCCTACACATATTGTTCTGTGTGGCACCGTTTAAAAAAACTCAGTTTTAAGTACAAACCATGACAGCARGTTTTATGATATTATGCTGCTACTTCTACACAGAACTGCTGGTTTGTATTTTCAGTTCTTGTTTTTTAGTTATAATACTGTTGAACAGTCTGTCGCTAACCTGTTTGTCCACCATGTGGAGGCGGAGCTTATAAGGCTGAGTTCATCTGAAACTCATCAGACTGAAGAAGTCTCTTGGAGGAGAGATGAAACGTTTCACTAAAGAAGAACCATCCAGAGGATCTACTTTTCTTTTTGATTAACTAACTTATAACCAACACGTGTAAAAGGACATTCTTATCCCAATACTCACAAAGACAAAAATTTTCCAGGGTGCAAAGCGTGAAGAGCACATTTAGTGTTATATGAGCTGTTTTGACCTCTATTCTCTTCGACAAACTTGACTCCAAAATACGTCAAAGATAGTACAGTATATTAACGCAAGAGAGGTCTCTCTTAAAGTACTGCAGGTAATACGATATGACTAAACATGTGAGGTGTCACTTTGACCAGAATTTGACCAGAATCCAACCCCAAAATAAATTCTTTAGTATTCTTTATCTTAAATCTCAGAGTTAATTTTTTTGACTTAAGATTTAAATTTAAGATATAGATCAAATATATTTGGATTAAGATTGAAGATTTAGATTCAAGATTTGGATATATAGCCTATCAGTTAATATACCAAGAGTAAATAGTAATCTGGGTCATACAGTCATTGGTTGTGCCAATAGTATATTTTTAAATGAAATTGATAAAGACGAAATT